ACAACATGCATATGACAGTACGAAATCCTTCACGCTCATGGTCGCTCTACTCACCTAAGGTTCAATTTAGTTCATTTCTTAGAACCATTAACCATGCACGACAGTGCATGGTTTTGGTTTGCCCATTTGGATAAAACAGCAGAATGATGATTAGAATGTTGACAGCAAAGCAAACGTACTTATCACGCTCATCAACATTGGCGGACTAATTCACAACATTGATTCTGTACACCGATCTCTCCTTTCGTCACCAGGTGTAGCTCAGTTTGTGAATATATTGCGAATACAACCCTGAGTGAGAAGATACCCAAATTCAAGTCCCCAACTACACTTTCCAGTTCTCTTTTCTACTCAATTCAATTGTCACTGCCTCAAGAATCCCAAATAATGACTTTTCCAATCGTGGATTTCAACTGATGTGACTGAAGCTCCGAATTCCTCCTTTCCATTTTACTTTTGTGTCCTATGGTGTGAACCCCCACCCACTCACTAGTACCAACTCCACCAACTTTATCTTTTACCTGGGAACATTGAACACTTGTTTACAAGCAACTCTCAACAGCCACGTTACCATCATGGGCGCCAAGCCGAGGCAAGTCAACCGTGACGACACCGTCGATCGGGTTCTCACTTTAGTCCTGCCTTTCTTTTCATATATCTATACTCACCCTCCATTGACCTATCGATCACTAAATTGTTTCTTCCTCTATCAAGTCTACTCGCCACGATCCGCTACCTACCTCGGGATGCAAATTTTGGTGCTACAAACATCATATCTACCCTTTTTGAAATCGTTATCTACGACCGAATATGTACGTTCCTTGAAAGTAAAGGACTACTGAGAGATCACCAGTATGGCTTCTGATGGCGTAGTTCTAGCGGTGGCCTGCTGGCTCTCATCTAACAATTCTCCTCGGCTACCTCTGACAAGCGCGGAGAAACACACAAGGCCTCGCTTGATATCTCAAAGGCCTTCGACCGAGTTTGGCACGACGGTCTACTGGCGAAACTGCCCATATTCCGGTATCCTCTAATTCTCTTAGCGTGGAAATCAAGTTTCCTCAGTAAGCAAACCAACTCCGTCCCAGTTGATGAAGGTGTATGCCATTCGTTCCCTATGAATGTTGGTGTTCCTCAAGGTCCTTGCACCCACCTTTTTTTGTATTTACTAATGATATCTTTGCCTGAACTGTTAACCTGCTCAATTATTTTGCCGATAGCAACACCTTCCGCTGCTTGTTCTCCTATTGCAGTATTCGCCATGCCAGAACTAACACCGATCGTGACCGTAGGGCAGTGCCCCTGGACTCTGATCGCGAACACATCTCTTCCTGGAGCAATGACACACATGCGTCATTCAATGATTCTAAAACCTTTATTTTTCAACTTCTCGAAAACCGCCATTCATTCTAATCCCAATTATCGTTTGATTCCACCCAAATGCATCTCACAGACCCTTTCTGTTCTTCGATCGCCCATAACTTCTTTATACTGGTTCCGTTTTACATATCGTTTGCTACTCTTGATGCACGCAAGGCTTTTTTATTCCGCGCCAGATGCCTCATCACCCCAGTTCATCTTCTGAGGTAAAAAGCTCTTGAATACTGCAGTCACATGTGTGTTGGGACTTTGTCTGTNTTGTCTGTCTCTTTCCTTCCGTGATCTCATTGAACGTAAGGTCATCCGATAGATCGATGATGATCCTTCCCTCAACATCCAACATGCAGTCCATAGGCCATCATCGGGGCAGTTGCTTCTCTGTCGCTTCTATACCATTACTACTATGAATTTCTTCGGATCTCGTCCCCTTAGTCTCTCTACCCCGAACGTTTTCCTACCCATCCTGTACACAAGCATTTAGTCTCATATTTCTCATACCAGATATGGTACTTCTTTGCATGAATCTTCTGTTCTGCCCTGAAACTTGTGGGACACCCTTATACTCTCTGCCTTTCACTATACTGCTTATACGCATCACGATCATCAATGAGTTAGACTTTACGTCAATGTGCCGCTGCCCTCCCCTTTATAGTACGCATTTGGACTACGGGGATATCCCGTTTGTATCGTAATTTACTTTATGCACATTTAAAGAAGAGAAAAGAATAGAACAGGACGTTCAAAAACTACCACATATAAGGCCCAGCTAAAATTGTCGCTTTCAACTATTCATAGATATGTATGTATGTCCGTCGTTGAGTGTTGGGTGTGTTGTGTGTTCCCTAACACTAGTAATCGTTCTACATCGCCTCCGATGGCTTGGTCACGTTTTGCGTATGGCTGCCCATCGACTAACTTTCCGTGCTCTCGTTGCACGTGCCGGGCAAAGCTGGAAGAAGCGCCATGGCGGTCAGACCATGACATGGCGTAGAGGTATGAAGAAGCTAGCTTCAGATTAGGCTTCGGTTGGTGCAGCCCGCCTTTCTGGTTGGGGCCCACGGGATGAGGACTGTCGTTGGTTAAAGACGCCCAGAGATATGGCTCAGAATAGAAATCAGTTGCGCGAATGTTGTACGGTCTGCCTTTCGAAATCCCATGCCCCGTAAAAACAACACAAAAAATTTCAAAAAGTGTACGGTGAAACACAAAAAGAATTGTTATTCCATTTATTCGTAATCTTCCATTCTGACAGACCGATCCAATCCGAACTACTCAATTCCTTGTCCGTGAGGCAATCACTTACCGGAATCTCGTAAGCTTGTTCTCGGCGACAGAAGTGCATCAGGCACACGTGAGTACTACTCGCGGTTAGGAGTAGCCGAGACTCAGGACAAAAGTGAATGGATCGAATGGCGAAAGGATCTTCCTCCGTGTCCAATAGAACCGAACAATAATGTCCATTTACGCTATCCGACGGAGACGGTATGGGTCCGGAACCAGCGCGCATTTCAGTCGATTCCGGTTTACGTGCATGGGAATTGGCAAAAAACCGCAAAGTTCGTACCTTGTATAATGGGGTCAACGTAACTGCATAGGAGTTGCAAGTTGTTGTGTCCCCAAAAGGGTTGCAAGTGGGAGAAAGATGAAGGTGGAATGACACGGGCAGTGTGAAACTTCGGATAAACAAAGAACGCACCAGAATGATGTGATTTTGATGAGATATAGATCCTAGTGTACTCATCGTCATTATCACCGTACAGCGAACTTCACTACCAAACTCACTATGCATAAAAAGCGAGAATATGTATAGTCAATCACGGTTGAGCAAGCATTCTAGCCTGATATGAAATGACAACAAGAGTGAGTCAACCGTCGGTGGATCCTTCGCACTGGGGAGGCCCCTTCGGATTCAATTTTTGTCGCTCGTGAAATGCGGAACCACTGTAAGCTCTGTTCCATCATACCCTTTCCACCATTTAAGTGTGAAGTTTTTTACAAGACTGCAGGAGTCTGTGTTTACACTCACCCTTTCCATTGATCAGATCGCAATAGTCACGAGCTCTAAGTACCTCGGGAGGTTGATCGTGGCGGGAAGTAGTGTTGGTGAAGAGATCACGAATAGCGAAAGCTGGAGCAAATTTTGCCTACCGGGACGCCTGTGGCATTACCATGACATACGACGAATGTACATCGTTCTGTTGAAGGTGCTAATCCATTTTCTGTTTTTGACCACTTATTCCTTAGAAGCATTGCTTGTGTCTGGTGGGAACATGGGACGAGCGATGACTAGAGTTGTCGTCCCATGTTGGGTGTTGATAGTTGTTCCCCAAAACAAGTAATCGCTCCATATCGCCTCCGATGGTTCGGTCGTTTGTTTACCTCCGTGCTCTCTTTGCACGTGTTGGGTAAGTCTGGAAGAAGAGCCGCGGTCAGACCATGAAAACGTTAGCCTCATCATCGTCGTCGTCATCATCATCATCATCATCATCATCATCATCATCATCATCATCATTAGGTTCTCAACCAAAGCCTTTAGTTCTAACAAGAGCCTAGCCAAAGGCAGTGGGTGAAGCAAAGTAGAGGCCCATTTACTTGGATTGATTACTCCTCTATCATTTTTTACCGACTGAAACGCAAATTCCAATCGAACCTCTAACCTGGAGGACCAGGAGACGACTTCGTCCGACCTCTATCCTTCGACCTTCCAGGCATGATTAGATCTCCTGACTTGACAAAAGCCATTCCGTGTACCTCGTTGGGTCAAAGAGGTGTACAAACCATCATAACACATCAAAGTGCAGTCTCGTCGCGATGGCTTCGATTGATGCAGCTCGTCTTTCAGTTGGGGTCCAAGGATAAGGGTTACCTCGAGCTGGAGACGCTGAGAGATATGGCCTTCTGTCTATTAGCTTTCCAGTTGTGTACTTGCATCAGCCTGACGAAAGCTGGGTATGGTGAGCGGCGTCCGTGTAGAAAATGTAATTTTGAAAATAAAAGTGAATTTAATCTAAAAATAAGGGTATGAGCATAAATCGTTCAGTAGTGCAAATGATTCTGCTTCACATCCAAGGGGAGATGTCCCCGCAGGATAGAATAGCCATGCTCCTTCATGAACAGTTATGGAATGGGCTTCGAGTTTATTTCAGTGATTTTCTCAATTTTTTTTCGAGAAAATGTCAAAAATCGAAGGCCGACTGCCATTGCGACAACGGCATATAGTGTAGAAGCAATCATTGAAGGAAGAGAACCGAAGTCTGAAACTTGATATTGGTGAGATTCAAGCAAATGCTTGTTTTGGAAAACATCGAAGTGTGAACGGGTTCATTAGGAATCTGTAGATGGGTGATGTCTGTGGTACAGAGAAGAGTAGAAAAGAAAGTAGCTTGAAGAGATGGATGTATGGGATCCATGTTGCGGTTTAAGCCGCCGATATTGCCTGCTATTTTCGAGGGCGTATAGTAAACATTTGTTGGAATATTGTTTAAGGTAAGATAAGAAAGATAACCAGTAGCCTGACCATACCTGAAACCAGACACGGGCAATTAATAATGATAACCTGACTTTGGAACTTGGAATAATAGGCCACATACAGTTCCGACGTTTGGGTGATGGTACTGCCCCTGACGACAGTCAAAACAGTCTTGCTTTTAATGAATTAAGGAATACTATCCGCGATAGCTTAGCTACAAGACTGGGTGTCACCGAGTTCTGTTCTGATACTAGACGGTCAGGAATTAGCTGAAGTTGACTGCTTCTCGTACTTAGGTAGTTGCATGACAAACGACGGTGGCGCATACAAAGAGATAACCGCCTGCATTTCTAAGGCTCGAGCAGCGTACGCAGGACTAAAACACCTGTGGCGACGACGTGATGTTTCATTGAAATTGAAAAGTCGCATATACTGTGCTACTGTGCGATCAGTTCTACTTTGCGGCTGTGAGACCTTGAATTTGCGGGTAGAAGAGATCCGTTGCCTAGTGTTTTTCGACAATCGATGCTTACGTAGTCTGGCCCAAGTGGGATGGAGTGAGCGAGTTAGTAACGTAGAAGTAAGTCGTCGGGTGTTTGGGAATGCATCGAACAAGAACTCGCTATCTCATCGAATCCAGCCCAATAGACTCTGTTGGTTAGGACGATGATGATGATGCCGGTTTCGACCTAATATAAGCCGTTTGACGGGATGTGATGTCATTTGTTCGCACTAGAGGTCGGCCACATCAATCGGCAGTAAGCTCTTCATTCAGTTTCAGTTTTTACAACCATTAACCATGCACTTTCGTGCGTCGGTTTTGATTGCTGTCTTTTGGTTGCCCATTTGGATAAAAGAGCGAAATAAAGATTGGAATGTCGAAGCAAATTCAAGCGGAAGATGGGGAATACATATAGAGTGGTGTTAGAAAAATAACTGTTTGCGACACCCAGCCATATCACTCAGTGTAGCTAACCATCGGTGACCATCATCCCGAGGTCCCCAGCCAGGGAGCCTAACGGGGCCTATGTGATCTAGTCTCCTGATTAGGGTTTTCATACTCTCA